TGGTGTGTGTGTGTGCGTGGTTGGGTGTGCATGAGAGAGAGAGAGAGAGGAGAAGAGAGAAGGAGAGAGAGAGAGAGAGAGAGAGAAGAGAGAGAGAGAGAGAGAGAGAGAGAGAGAGAGAGAGAGAGAAGAGAGAGAGGAGAGAGAGAGAGAGAGAGAGAGAGAGAGAGAGAGAGAGAGAGAGAGAGAGAGAGAGAGAGGGGAAACAAAAGCAAATTCTAATAATCTCCATTTTTTGACTTCTCAATTAACAAAACTTTAAGTGATTTTAAACTTTTCTTATCAATTACAGGAATAAAATTATTTGTGTAGTAATAATGAAATGTAGAAAAATCCTTTCCACTTTTCCTAAGGAGGGAAACAAAGGGGCAGTATCAACTGACGTGCAATACTTAATGAATTAAGCATATCAATACACCAGAATCCTTTAAAGCAATCTTATCGACATTTTTACCCCTATGTGAGACTGCCTCTATTAACTGTTTCACTCAACATCCTTTCCTTGATAGGCCTAGTGATATTAACACCATTAAACAGCATAGTGTAATTCTTTTAAAAAAATCACTGATCTGTAACAAGACTTAGCACTGCAAGAAGCCCTTGTTGTAGTAAGCTTAATGTTCAAAATCTGGGCATTAAGCTTACTTACGCAGCCACTCTCACAAGTATTTGGCTTGTAACCTGGACATACACAAACATTCATATGCAGTGTTATCTCTCCATGCTCCTCCTTTCCAATGTTATTTTCTGTTTTACTGCATAAGCATTTTTAGCTTTCTTGCCATTTTCCAGTGTCTAAATTCATCATTTGATATACTGTAACCTGATGGTAATAGAATGTTTTCCTTGCACACAAACTCCATATCATCTCTCCTGGTAATCCATCTCAGTGCTATAATAATACCAATAAGTAACATTGTTATTTTTGTCTTTTTTTATACTTAATTTCCAGGAATACAACCTGCGCAGTCAGTCACAGCGGACAGGAATAGAATTGAGTAGGGAAATAGTGTCCATCCTAGAGTCAGAGCTTTTCCAGCCATGGCTCACGGACGGTACATTCCACACTTGTTTAGGGCAGTGGCACTGGTTTTCCATCTATTTTGGCATAAAAAAAAATGTTAGGGACTTGGCATACAACCTGATTGCGTTAATTCTTTTTAGGTATTGAAGTTCAACTATTTACCAATAGTACCTACAATGTCATACTCTTATATCCAATAGTTTAAGATATTCCTTTTCAGATTGTTGGACATGAAAGAGAAGATCTTTAGGAATAAATAGATGGTGTACAAAATGACAAAAAATAAAAAATTGAAAACCCAGCAAGTGGACAATTAATTGGTTCCAGACCCTGGGACTAGTACCCATCCACTCTTGGTGACCACTTCCAAAATCAAACAGGCCTATATAAATGAGCAGAGAAGCCAGTGATGCACATGGCTGTGTACTCGAAATTTCCCCATCTCAATTGGTGTTGACATTATGGTACTCCAAATGTACATTTCTAATAACTATAAACTATATGCGGACAGGAATAGGTTATCCAACCATCAGCATAACTAGATAACCCATTACCTATACAAACTATGTCTGGATAACCTATGACATGTCCACACACAAAAGTGGGAATATGTTTCCCATCCACTGATGTGACTGGGGAACATATTGTCCTTTTAGCATTAAATTGCCTTTCTTCAAAGGTAAATTTATGCTTTTCTATTTCATTTTCATACAGGTTTTAATCTACAGGTTGCTTTAAATATAAATATGGCACCCAAAACAAGTGATAAATCTGGTTCAAAGACCAGAAATACACACATACTAGAAAAAGCTGTAGAGGAAATAAAAGGATAAGATTCTTATCATCCTCTCATTTTGTATCATATTAAACTTACTTTATTCATTGATATTGAATTAGAAATTTCCTTGCCCTCACTTAAATTCTATAAACATTATATGATATTCTGAGTTCTTTCCTTTACAGTACAAGAAGAAGATACTTGTAAATTTTATTCACATATCTGAGAAGAGAGGTATGTCAGTGACTAAAGAAAAAATCTTTGACACTGTGGAAGCCAGCCTTGCTGAAGAGGAGGAGAAAGCAAACCAAATTATGGACCAAGTAAACACTGGTGGTATTCATTTTCAGAGGAAAGTCCCCTAGCTTCTGTCCGAACCCCAGAAACCCTTTCACGATCACGATGGGTAGTCTACAGTCCACAGGTTTGCTAGTGCTAAGGAGCACTTTCCACATCTCAGAATCTGCAGAAGACCTCCAAGACCCCTCAAAGTATGAACAGGAATTGTCTACATATAAAAAAGAGAGTGTGACTGAAATTTTATTTCTACTTCATTACTATGAATTTTCATGGCATAGATTATCTAGTGTAATAAACTGTACACTAATTTCTACAGGAACCTCAACCCTGATGAGACTGGCTTTAGTTTGTCCTGGCCATATATATAAGAACATATATTTTGAAATATCAGGAAAGGAGAAGACAAATATAACACTTCTAGGTATGTATAACTAGCATAAAAACTTTCTGAGAAATGTTCTCTATAAGATACGGTCCTATTCAGAAGTGTAAACATGCCTCTTAAATCAAGAAAAGCTTTTACTTTGCTACAGCTTATTCCTATCACATGCTATTTTTTTCCAACATGCATTGCTGGTGATGGTTCTGCCCTTCCTACTATTATCATTTTACCAAGAAAGTGTATATCCCCATAAATTATAAAGAATGCACATCGATTCAGCTGTATTTCACCTAGAAGTAACAGTGGGTTTATCATGAGAAGTTTTTTATGAATACATGTGCAACCATTTTGACAACTGGCTAAGTGAGAATGAAATTATACACTCTGTTGTTGTCTGGACAGAATGGCATGAGTCAAGTGTGTTTTCATCTTACTAAAAAAAATAAAAGAACTGAAGGTCACACTATATGGTATTTCTCTAAATACGACACATTTCCTCCAAACTTTGGCCCCTCAAGCAAAATTATTTTGTAACATGATGGTCACATCATCCAGATCGTAGGGATTAATATATTTGAAAGTACATGGAAATATTTACATGAAAAAAAGTAGCTGAAGTACTGCTTTGTTTCTAAAAGTTTGGCAATATCAGTGATAAAGGTGGTGGTGGCTCACTGAGGTACCTGCAATACCAAACACAACCATATGTGTCTAGCCAGACTATAGATAAAACTGTTCCTTAGACCACTGCATCTATTATCTAGATACAAATACCATATTCTAATAAAATCTAGGTGTATTGCAGACACATTTGAATCGTGCATTAACCACATGCCTCCGGGAATGGCATGTGCATACATGAAATGCCCACTATGTGTTTTTACACATAGATGGCTCCACAGGTACTTTGTCACCAATGAACAAATTGTAAGAACTACCTGTCTCACCTGTTTACCCTTTTCCTTGATTTTTTATATTTCCTGATAATTCATATTGCTGTTAGTAATGTCAATTCTTGATTTGATAGTCCCAATAGCAAGGGAGGACATGAAGTATATCAGAGAAATTACTGGATGAAACAGGTCGAAATGGAATGAATATAGATTACAAATAAGCAATATCTCAAAAACAAAAACAAAAAAAATAATAATAATATAATATAATAATAATAATAATAAATAAAAATACCACCACCACCACACCAACCAGTACCACCCAACACCAACACCAACACCAACACCAACAACAAACACCAACACCAACACCAACAACAACAACAACAATAACAAAATAATAATAATAATAATAATAAAATAATAATAATAATAATAACAATAATAATAGTCATTATCATAACAATAAAACTCTACGGTCTAAAGCATATATTTACAATGAAAGCTATGGGAATCCATCCCAACTTTTGGCAAAACCTACTGTAAAACACACAACCACTACAGTAAAACACAAAAGCCAACCCAACCCTTTAGCAAAGGAGCTCCACCACTGGACATCCCAGATGACTCTAAACAGAATTTATTATTTCACTACAGCACGTAGAAACTCTTTATTCTAGCTATAGCTTTTGGAATAACAAGCTTGTTTCTACAGACAAATTGCTATATGAAAACAACATACAAAGTTATAGCAAAATTACACTTTTCTTGAGTTCCACAGAGTATTTGATTTTTTTTTTTTTTTTTTTTTTTTTTTTTTTTTTTTTTTTTTTTTGAGAGGAGGGGGATATGTAATGGACTCTACTATCACACCCTAAATGATACTAATACCTACTTATTTTGCAAGGTCACTTGGCCTATGCTATTATTATGAACTATATAAATGTAAAAATCTGTCAAATATGTACAATATATACATAATAAATGAAAAACATAAACACAGAGGAGTAGGCACTATTACAAAATAATTATTTTCACAAGCACATAGTACTCCATGGACTTGCTGACATAGTCAAGCATTTAGTAAGTAAGCCACTTTTCTCCTCCATCATATTGAATGAGAATACATCAAATTCCTTGAAAAACAGTCTCCTATATATTAACCAAAATAATCTGCAGAGAGTGAATCAAAGACTGCAAACTCTTAACATGAATAAAACCCCTGAGCCTTTGGCACTCTGGCAAAAGGCTAACAAACTTCTACTTTGTACATGCTAGTGAGACAGTGTCGGTAGTCCACCCAAGAAATGTTCTCAAATCAAGAACCCAACTAAGCTTTATCTTGCTGTGGTTTTTGGGTATTTACTTGTTACAAAGAAAAATAAATGTACTAGGCATCAAAGGTCATATATATATAGCAATACCAAAGGGAAAGAGGCTATAGCACTTACAGGCTTTCATACCCAGCAGATAGTCAGAGGCTTAAAAAGTACCAACAGGTCATGTTATAACATGGAAAAAAAATACCTCAGTAACCCCTTACAGTACAGACACACTCGTCAGAGACTGTCACAAATTTCATTCAACAATCTAAATTGCCGTAACTGGCTGTGCCATTGACTG